ACCCCAGCAGGCAGGTAGACGTGAGGACATGAGGCACAGGAGAGATCTGACTGCAGGCCACTGCCAATCATGTGACAGCGGAAGCCACTGGTGGGTAAGGAGTAGAGCAGGTGGAGAGCAGAGGCCGCTGGGCGGCTCAGGGATGGCAGGCCCAGTCTCTGCCTCCGGGTGGGAGGTAGCAGAGGGAGTGGGACTGAGTGATCACCAGCCCAGCTCTCTCATGCCAGCCGCATGGAACGGCCTGCCACTCTGCTCTGAAGAGCTGTGTCTGAGTCCCCGAGACTGTGTGCCTGAGCTTGGCACCCCGGGCTTGTCCCTGAGCCAGGAAGGGCCCCCTCCCGCAGCTGTCCCTGACCAGCTGGTGGGGACACCCTGGTTCCACGAGAGTGGGTGGAGGCCATTCTGCCTCTGCCTTAGGGTCACGCAGAAACCCAGGGCAGGCTCCTGATGCTCCTGCCTCCACCCCACAGGCATGAACTCCAGCCCTGGGAGGCGGAGCTTAAGGATCTTAGCTGTCAGCACAGGCGACTCGCCTCAGGCCTGTCACCCAGAAGGACCTGTCCTGGAGTCCTCTGGCTGTGTCTGCCTGGCACATCTGCCTGAATATAAAAATAAGCAGAGCAGTCTTGGCTGCTTGCTTGCAATTCACCTGCTCCACCAAGTCCTATCCGTGCGTTCTGTCACTAAATCTGAACTTCATGACGCAAGAACTTTATGAGATGGGAACAGTGCCCATTTGATAGATGAGGAAACTGAGGCTTGGAGGAGTTAGGTGATGTGACCAAAGCGGAACCTGCATGTGTTTACACTGGATACACTCCCAGGTTAGAACCCTGAATTGCTGCCAGCCATTGGCTCTGTCCCTGCCCTGTGAGAACTCCCCCCAAGCCTGCCGCCCCTCAGCTGGTGGGGTGTGCATGTGCCAAAGTGTGTTCGACTGATATCCCCTCCCTGTTCCCAAGCTCTCTCAGACATGCCTCAGGAGACCACAGGAACTCTGATGAATTAATCTCATCACCTTATCGAGGAGGCACTTACAGAAATTACAAAGCAAGGCCACCAGCCTGGCAGCCAGCCGCTGGGGCCATAAAACAAATTGGAAGGAAGGAAAATAAATAAAATATTAGCACTCCTCTCTCTCTCTATCCACACACACGTGCGCGTGCACGCACGCATACATGCACGCACACCCCCGAAGGTCATGAGCCTTGCTGGAGACCTGCTGGCAGGCATGTCCTCTTGTCCCAGGAGAGCACAGCACGTGTCCACACACTTCTGGAGCCCTGTTTGAGCCCAATTTCCCAACCGCGGCCTGTCCTCCTTTGGGGGTACAATGGAATCCAGCGGCGGGAAAGTGACGGTAGCAAGGGGCATCTCCAGGCAGCATGAGCTCCAGACAGACTGGAGTAACCTCCTGGTTCTGGTCCCCAAGCTCCAGTACCCTGGACTCCGCTTGCGTCCCGGCTGCAGATAGAGGAAAGCAGTTTCCCTCCAGGGTTGTCAGGAAAATTGGGGCCTTGGTCTATGTCAAGCAGAACGGAGCTGCTTGTGCCAGGGTTAGCTCTCTGTGTGCTCTGATTGAGCACCTCCTGTGTCCCAGGCATGTGGGCCATGGAGAGGAGCTGGTCCAGGTGGGGAAGGCTGGCAGGGACAGCACAGGCGATGGGGCCACTGGTGGCTGTCGGCACAGACGAGGAGCTCCCCTCCCCGTGGGAGCTAGAGAAGCCGGGCAGGCCAGGCCAGAGGAGGAAGCACAGAGGACTTGTTCTAAGAGCAGGAGCAAAGGCCCGGAGGCCTAGGAGGCTGTGGATTTCCAGGAACTACTACTTAGGCAGAGTGACTGGGGAATGGAGGCTGTGGGGATGTGGAGGCTGGAGAGAGGGGTGGGGCGGGGTGGGGCAGGGACCCAATTCTCTGGGGCCTTCTAAGCCAAGGTAAGGACTTGGGTGAAGTGGTTTGTGTGCCTTCCTTTCTGTTTGTCTTTTTAATTTTGCCATGCTTATGTAAATATTGAAATTATTTCTCTGGAAGTCACTCCAGCCAGGGTTCTCTAAGACATGGCTGGAGGTAGATGGGGAGGGGCATACAGTCTTGTAGGAGGAGACAGAGAGACAGAGAGAGAAAGAGGGAGGCACAGAGAAAGAGAGAGACAGAGAGGAGGAGAGAGACAGGAAGGAGAGAGGCAGAGACAGGCAGAGAGGAAGAGAGAGAGACAGAGAGGCAGAGATAGAGGAAGAGAGAGACAGAGAGTGGGAGAGAGACAGAGAAGGGGGGAGAGAGAAACAGAGAGGTAGAGAGAGACGGAGAGAGAGAGACAAAGAGATGCAGAGACAGAGAGGGAGAGAGAGAGACAGAGACAGAGGGAGACAAAGACAGAGAGACAGAGGGAGACAGAAATGGAGACAGAGAGGCAGAGAGAGTGACTGAGGGGGGGAGAGAGAGAGAGGAGGCATGGTCTCTCACCTGTAGCTATCTGACATGTCTTAGACATGGGGGCAAGAACACTTCCAGCTGTTGGGAGTGCTCTGTGCAGTTAGGCACCTGTAATAATTTTGCTGCTTTGAGGCACTTTGTCAGTGGTGTAACATGGTTCATGCCTGTTCCTAGAAAATCCTGTAGAAAATGGTCTCCATATACCAGGCATGGTGACACACACCCTATAGTCCCAGCTACTCAGGAGGCCAAGGCAGGAGGATCACTTGAGGCCAGGAGTTCAAGTCCAGCCTGGGCAACAGAGTGAGACCCTATCTCTAAAACAAAATAATAGTTAAAAAAAAAGTTATTTAAAAAATGTTTGGTATCCCACATGGGGTGGGGTGGCTGCAGCACAGGGAAGCCCAAGGACACCCTCGTCCTCCTCCTCTCCTGGCCTGCAGGCTACCTCAGCTGCTGGGTGGGCAACAGGGGCCTTCCTTGGGGGGCGGCACTCCCAATTTCCCAAGCACCTTGTGAGACGCCGGGGGGCACAGGCTCTGCGCGGCCTTGGGTGACCCGCGTCAGCGCTCCGGTCTCAGCTTCTTGGTCTGTGAAAGGGGCACAGATGTGCCTGCTTCAGGGGACTGTGGGGACAGAGGGAGCGGTGCAGATGTTGCACATAGTAGGTGCACCTTCCATCTCCACCATCATGCCTCCAACGGGGCAGGGTTCCGTGTGGAGGCGTCAGAGGGCAGGCAGGCGCTGCCCCTCAGGAGGTGGGTGTGCATCTGGGTGAGGAGGAGAGGCGTGTTTTGGTTTAAATTCCTTCCTGTGAGGCCCTTGGCTCAGGCAGACCTCGCTAACTTTGGGGCAGGAACTATGGCGTGCCGTCCTCCGTCTGTGGCCTCCAGTGGCCTTTCCCCACCACCTCTCCCCCATCACCTCTCCTTCAGCCCCCAGGCTGGGACAGGTGCTCAGCGCGTACTTGTTAAATCCTGGGGCAGCTGTCTGTATTAGAAAGGTAGCCACAGCCCCTCCTGGCAAGACGGCCCACCCTCCCAGGAAGAGTGCCAAACAAAGAGGTCTCCCCAGAGCACTGCAGGTCAGTTCAACCTACGGAAGACCCATAGACTTACACCGCACAGAAGATCCGGTAAAACTCAGGTTTCTCATCTGCAGAATGGGGATGGGGTTGGAACCTGCTTGTGGAATTGCCACTAGGAGGGACTTGGTAGCTTAGTCGTTCACCATGTCCTTCTCGCCGTCATGTGGCGGGGCTGTCCTAAGGCTGCTGGATACTGGGGAATGGCACAGGATCTTGCCTTCATGGGGCTTCCGGCTTGCAGGAGCCTGAGGCCAGGTTCATGGTGGCCATTATGAGAGGCCTGGAACATTTCACCACAAATTCCCTCTCCTTATGAACTGTGCCTGTAAGATGACCACCTCCCGTCGAATAGTGCTTTACAATTTTTATTTTTAGAGACAGGGTCACACTCTGTCCCTAGGCTGGAGTGCAGTGACACCATCATAGCTCACTGCGGCCTCAAACTCCTGGCTCCAGAGATACTTCTGCCTCAGCCTCCCAAGCAGCTGGGACTACAGGCACCACTGCCACACCCAGCTAATTTTATTTTTTGTATAGACGAGGTCTCGCCATGTTCCCCAGGCTGGGCCTTTGCAATTTTTAAAGCAGTTTTCCTTACGTGGTCTAGCTTAATCCAATCCTTTGTTTAGTATCACACTGTTTTTATATGAGGGAATTTGGACTCAGTGACAGGGACGTGGTCCCCCAACGTCAGCAGAGCTGGTGGCCCGGGCCTCCCTCGTGGGATGCAGACTCCAGGCCTTGATCCTGTAGTCTCGGAGTTTCCAAGAGGAGGGCCATATTGATGTTCTGGCCAGCACAGGGGATGTTTTCTTCCTGGGGTAAAACACTAGCTCAGTGAGTTTTGATGTCCCAGCCCAGTGGTGGCATCAATACTGCGTGACAGGCCGGGTGTTGTGGCTCACACCTGTAATCCCAGCACTTCGGGACGTCAAGGCAGGAGGATCACTTGAGGTCAGGGATTCAAGACCAGCCTGGGCAGCATAGAGAGGTCCTGTCTTTACAAAAAATAATTAAAAAAAAAATTAACCAGGCGTGGTGTTGCACGCCTGTAGTCCCAATTACTCAAGAAGCTGAGATGGGAGAAGCCTCGGGCTCAGGAGGTTGAGGCTGCAGTGAGCTATGATTGCATCACTGCACTCCAGCCTGGGTGACAATGTGAAATTTAAGAAAAATAAAACAAAGCACTGTGGGTAACCACGCTCTGGAAGGTGTTTCTCCAGGGGCTACCTGGCCCACCCAGGCCTACGACCCAAAGTCTCCATGTGGAAAGAGTGAGAAATATATATATTTTTTGAGTTGAAATCTCACTCTGTCGCCCAGGCTAGAGTGCAGGCTACTGCAGCCTCGACCCCAGGGTGCTGTGAGCACCCTGTCCCATGGGACCCTGAGGGCGGGAGCAGTTGCAGGTCCAGCTCCTCCATCCCCACCCAGCCTCTCCCAGGTGACACCTAGCAACTCTCTCTGTGTCTGGTTGCAGGGAACATCGAGTACAGCTGCCCGGCCACTAACGAGTGCGAGATCACCAAGCGGAGGCGCAAGTCCTGCCAGGCCTGCCGCTTCATGAAATGCCTCAAAGTGGGCATGCTCAAGGAAGGTAAGAGGCCGTGGGCAGCTCCGGACCAGCGCTCCCCACTGTGGGGGGGTCCTCAGGGCTCTGCGGGGTGTGGCCCAGGGCAAAGCCCCACCCTGGGCCCACTCACCCCCTGCCCGTTCCGGCCACCATCCACGCAGCACTCCTCCTCCAGAGAGGCAGGGCATGGAGTGCTCCATGTAGGATCTCTGGGGACTCCTGACCCCACGTGGGTCCTAGACGGTTGACTGGGTGCTCTGGGAAGGCCCTCCTTGGGGGAGAGCCCGCCCTGCAGCCTGGGAAGTGTGAGAAGGGCAGAGACAGTAAGTCAGGCCCAGAAGGAGAATGGACCCTCACCTGCGAAAAGGGCCTCTGCTGCGGGCAGGTGGGCAGGACGGGGCACCAGCCTTGGAAGTGCTCCCCCCCTGCTCCCTCTGTCCTCTCTTCCTTCTCCTTTCTCTCCTTGTGGCCTCTTTCTCTCGAGCTGCCCCATCCGGTGTGGCAGCCACGAGCCATGTGTGGGTCCTGAGCACACGTCCAAGTTGAGACTGTTCTGAGTGTCAGACACATGCCAGGACTTCACAGGACCCTCAAAGGCAGTGTGAGACCTGGTGCTGACAATTCTAAAAATCTGATTGCATGCAGAAAGGGCAATGTCCTGGGTGTGCTAGGTGAGGTAAAACCTCCTATGAAATTAACACCGCATGCTTCTTTTTACCTTCTTTAATGTGGCTGCTGGGAAGCTTACAGTGACACGTGGCTCTCCTTATTGGGACAGCTGTGCTAAGTCTCCTCTTCCTCAGTGTCCCTTACCGGTATCCCCAATGTGAAGCACTTCATTCTGCACCATCTGGGGATGCGTCATGTTTGCGTGTGCACATGCACGTGCATGTGGTTTTCTCACTTTCTCTGGCCTCCAAGGGAAGCCGGTGGAAATTCTTACAGATCAGCTTTTAAGCTCTGGGCCTGGGATCCTTATGGAAGTGTGGGGAGGCGGGAAAAGAGGTGTAGGGAGTGACCAAGAGGGCCAGGTCTGGAATGCCGACCCTCCTTGGGAGAGCAAGGGTTGGAGAGTGGGTATCAGGAAGCCCAGCCTGGGTCGGGGAGCCCCGGGCACTGCCCAGCCCCCTCCCAGTGCAACTGGAAAAGGGCCCACACACAGGATGCTTTGTCGTGGGAACTCGGACCTTCCTGCGCCGAGTTCCAGTTCCACTCCAAGTCCCCCGTCTGCCTCAGCTCTGTACCTGTAACAGGTGGAGGCGCTTGAAGCAGGCCTCGACAGCCCTTGTGTCCACATAGCACACTGGTCTTTCAGGTGCATTTGTGGTCTGCTGTTTCTCTTAACCCCTTGCAGTGGAGAGGACCATTCAGCTCTTAGACATGGGCCAACTGCTCTGTTAGGGACTCAGCTGATGAAACAGCCCCCTTTCCAGGTTGAAAACAGGCTGTATCAGGCCTGCTAAAGACTGTCGGTTCATTCTGACTCCACACGGTTTTGGGGTTGCCTGGTATAGGTTGTGACCCATGTCAGTGGCTGACCCGGGTCCCCGACTCCTAGGCCAGGTTCTTTCTTCTTCAGAGCCCCTTAGTGTTTATGAATGGGGAGACTGAGGCACAAAGGCCCAGAGAAGCATGCCTTAGCCCTGGTCTCTTGACATCCCTCTCCATGTGACTCCGGGAACTTGAGTTTTCTAAGCTTTTGAGAGACTCATTTCCCTAAAGTCCACTTTGACCTGGGGAGCTGGGTGTGAGCACCCTGGGCTGCGGGGTTTGAGGCCAGCTACCCAGCGACTCTCCAGGGTGGGGGTGCAGCCTCTCTGCTTACTTCACAGCATCCCAGGAACTCAGAGCAGCAGGAAGTCTCCTTGGTACCCAGATAGCCCTAAATTGTAAGGGCAACAAAACTGCCCTGTGGAGTTGGGGTGAGGGGACGCTCTCACCCCCAGTCATACGCTCATTTGAGGGGAGCTGGGCCCAGAGCCTGGAGCTACCTCTGCTCTATGCTGGGTCTGCCCCTGTGGCATAGGTCAGGGCTTCATGCTGTGACTGTCACCATGGCATAGGTTAGGGCTCCATGCTGGATCTGCCTCCATGGCATAGGTAGGGTTATTGGGGGTGGGGGCCAGCCCTCGAAATCCCTGGGCTATCTCGCCTCTTCGAACAGTCTTTAGGGGCCACCCAGTGTTGGAATGAGAGTGGGGGTACTTCCCAGTGACCCCCCAGGAAGGGAGACACGGTGAGGAGTGCACTGATATCAGAGGAGGGCGTGGTCAAGTGTTCAGCTGGTTGATGGCAGCGTCTCAGACATCTGACCTGGTGCTCGTAAGAGAAGCAAGACGGATGCTGTGTGTCCCAGGCGATGGCACAGGGCTGCTGAGAGGACGTGGGTCTCAGGCCCATGCTGCCTTGTGGGAGGACATGGAGCCCCAGTGTTGCTTCCTGCTGTCCACAGTCTTTTAGCCGATGGCCTCTACTTAGGTGGCACTGGGGTGTCCCAGCCTATTGGCGAGAGCCGGGCTGACATGCTGAGCCCGAAGAGGCCCTTGCCTGAAGGAGGAAGGGATGGTCACCAGAACACGCCTCCCCCGTTCCCCCCAGTGCTGGCAGGTCTAAATCCAAGTGGGGGAGAAGGGGACACACACAAAAGCTCCATGTGTGGACAAAGAGGACAGCTCGTTCTACCCGTGTCCCTCGCAAAGCCCTGGCGAGGTCCTGGGATCTGGAGCTCTGCAGGGACCGGCCCCGGGAGGAGCTCGTTCAGGGCCTGGGTCCCTGCCAGGCGGGGCTGTTGGCAGCCACAGCTCTGGCTTTGTTAGGGTGGCCCTCCTGGCTCGGTGGAGGGCCCGGCTCCCAGGACCAGCCTGGGTTCCTCTGTCTTCCTCAGACACTGACTTTACTCAGAGGCACACTTCGCCTCCCAGGGCTGCTTCTCTGCTCCAGGCCTCACAGTGGGCCTGTGTTGTCGGGGGCTGGGGGCCAAAGGCTGGGGAAGGCTGGGAAAGAGAGAGCATGAATGCCCCTACCACCCCCCCAGCCCTCCTCTGCTCCTCCCCATACATCTAAGCACCATATTCGCCCTACCCAGCAGCTCTCGGGGTCTTTTATCATTTTCTTAAGTAAAATAATCAGAGAGACTGTTTTGTGCCTTGGCAGGCCCAGCAACTGCCAGGGAAGAGGTCAGCTTAGGACTTCTTCTGGCTCTCCTTCTCCCACTGCAGGCTCTGGGACTCAGTTTATTCCTCTCACAGCAGGGGGCCCATCCCTATTTGGGAGGGGGTGGCAGACTGTAGGATGTGTGCAAGGCCCAAAGGTCTGTGCTGCTTTACACAAACACACTGCATGAAAGTCTGGATTTTAAAGCCGGGCGCGGTGGCTCATGCCTGTAATCCCAGCACTTTGGGAGGCAGAGGCGAGAGGAATGCCTGAGCCCAGGGGTTTGAGACCAGCCTGGGCCACTTGGCGAGACCTCGTCTCTACAATAAATCAAAAGATTAGCTGGGCACACACCTGTAGTTCCAGCTCCTTGGAAGGCTAAGGTGGAAGGATCAACTGAGCCCAGCAGGTCGAGGCTGCAGTGGCCATGAGTGTGCCACTGCACTCCAACCTGGGCGACGGCGAGGCTCTGACTCAAAAAAACAAGGGAAGTCTGGGTTTTCAGGGAGAAAAGTGAGAAGTGGCTTTACAAAAGTGAACCAGCAAGGACCCGGCGGCCTGTGTCGCCCCTGCCTTCCAGATGTTCTTGCTGTATGATATTATTTCTCATGTGCACCTTGGGCTTCCATTTCGTCACCTGCTCCCCATCACCAGATCAAGGTGGGAATCCAATGGGACAGCTCCCTGGGCAAAGTCCACTGTGGGGTCTCTTGGGTGCTTTAAGACGCCATCATGTTTGGTTCAAAAGTGGTGTTGTCTACACTCACGTTTCAGCAGCCTGCCCCTTGGATCTGGAGGCCAACCGGTGTTCAGCTGCCCTGACTCTCACCTGGATTTGCTAGTAGGAACCTTAGAGGGCAGTGCTGTTTTGGGCTGGCCCCATCTGTGGGTTCCAGAGTCAGGATGGCGGGTCCCCTGGAGGCCGGGCCTCACAGCCTGGCTGGGGTGTGGGAGGCCTCAGTCCCCGGTCCAGAAGAGCCCTGGAAAACCGTCTGCACTTCGCAGGGTGCTGCCCAAGTCTTCAGGACTCTCCCCAGACTGCTTGTCCCTGCAAAAACTTCACTCCTCCTGTTAGCCCCCCAAGCCACTGGCCTCCCAGGCCTCTGCCGCCTCCCCCATTGAGCCCCCGCCCGTCTTTCCCCAAGTGTTTTTTGAGAGATATTTGATTTCAGCGAGAGCTGGGCTGCCATCCATACCACTCGCTCTCCCTCTCTTTGTGCTTGTTGGAAAGGCAGAGGGCTCCTCCGGGGATTCTGGGTAATTGGGTTAGTGGCCAGCTCATGTCAGGAAATTAAAAGGAGGCCTTGATCAGGTTCCCGCTGCATGGGATTTAATGGCTTTGTATTTATAGAGTGCTCTGCCTCTGGTCCATGCCAGAAATACCACTCTCCTGGCCCTGTGAATGAAGAAAGAGAATGAGAGATGGCTTGCTTTCAAAGATGCTTTTTCTTTTCCAAAATATGTTAGTGTTTTGAAACAAACCCGTACTCCCCCACTTCAGAGAACAGTATCAGAGCACAGTCTGAGAACTTCAGTGCAAGCTTGTGTCCCTCTGGAAGCCCTTTCCATTCTGCACACACTGCCTCACACACACATGCACACACGTGCATACACGCACATGTGTGCACAAGCACACATGCATGCGTGGACATGCACACACACTCACATGCACACACACAAACATGCATACTTGTGCATGGACACATGAGCACACATGCACTCATGCATGTGCGCACACATGCACACACAGAAACATGCACACATACACGCACGTCTGACGGCTCATGGGATCTTCCATGTGCCCTGGCACCTCCGGGCCCTCAGCGCAGCGACAAGAGTGTTGCTTGAAGATGCAGGAGGTGACCTTGTTT